TTGCGTGGGGAATGATGGCGCCTTGTGGGTGTACGCCGGCAGTATTCCATTGGTGATATCTCCTCGCTGTTCCCAGTTTGTTACTGCAGAGAGTTTGGGCGAGAGGGTAAGTTTTGCATGCTGAGTGGGCTCACAGGCGGGAAAGCAAATGCGGCGGCCACCACAGCCCAGAGGTCAGGGGCAAACCGCATTACTGTGAGTGTTTTTGTGCCTTGGCGTGGTGTTTTTCCCTTTTGTTTTTTTGGGTGCCATCGTTTTTTTTTGGTTCGTCTGTGCTCCAATGGGGGGTGCCGCATGCGCCGCTGAGAGCCTCGAGCAAACGCCGTTGGCGCCTCTCTTTTGTTGGGTTGCCGTCCTGGGCGCATGTGCCCGTTCCGTTTTGTTCGGGCCGCACGCATTGACCGGGCAGTCTGAGGCTACGGCTGCGCTGGCGTCGCCCTCGCTTGCGAGCGGAACGAAGCAGCAGGAAAGGGGGCTGCCGCGCTTATTAGGCAGGGTTTATTTTGTATTGTTTTTATTTATTTGATGTTTTTTTTTTTGACGTTGCACCCCACTCCTGCTGCAGTGCGCTGAGGGAAGTGGGCGGCGTTGGGGAGTTTGTGGTGGCCGTGATGGGAGGTCCCGCCGGCATTGCGCACTGCGTGTTGCTGCTGGCGGGGTTTGAAGGGGCTGGGCGGGGGATACGGTAAGCGGGGTGCCTATGAATTTCTTTAGTTGCTTGATTTCTGCGGGAGGCGTCCCACACTGCGGACTCTCCGTGCGGGTGCGTGTGGGTGTTTCTTTGGGCGGCGGCGAGTGTGTGATCGTGCAGCCCACATGGTTGTCGGTGCGGCCTTAGTTATGGGTTCTCGCTGTTATTTGCGTGATGCCCGACTGTGGGCGCGGGCGGTGACTCTTTTTTTTTTGCCTTTTATTTGGGCTTCGCCTTATTTTTTTCCCCTCAACACGTTCGGAAGGAAAGAGACCAAAAGCTACTTGCTGCTGCGCTCTTTGAAGGCTCTGCAGTCACCACCAGCACCACACACACACACACACACAATCGTTGAGGCCTGAGCGGATCCACCACAAGGAGGGAAGGAAGGGAATGAGTGAGCAGTGGCACATGCTTAACATGTCCCGGCACCTGTCTTCGTATTGGGTGCTTCTTCTTTGCGTGCTGTTGATATGCTTTGGAAGTACGGCTGTGGATGCCAAAGAGAGAAGTACGCCAAAAAAAGTGCAAATACAAAAAGCTATCAATCTTTTTGTGCCTCATCGAACGATTGTGGAAGCACAAGGTGAAAGCCATACAATGAATTATTTTGTCTCACCTTCCCTCGCCAGTGCTGGTGGAGTGTT